TGCGTATCTCTTCAGGTATCTGATTCCATAGTTTAGCCCCACTATATTGGAAGCTTTTTTTTAAGGATTCCGTTTTTGGTCTTGGAATATAAAACCTTGTTGAAGAACCTCTCAAATTATGGTCATGAATGGTATTCAGATTTTGGAAAGCTTCGCATAGTCGTTGGGGGGCTAAACCATTAACTGTCTTGTACATGAGCCTGGCTTTCATTTGTGCCCTACGCTCTTCAAGTGTTACCCAGCCTAGAGATTTTCGTGCCAAAATAGACTGACCATGTTCATTTTTTAAGTTCATGATCAACCTAGCCGCTCTGTTTTGGAATTTCTGTAGACGTTCGCTTAGGCCTTTATTAAGTGTATCCCATACTTCACAGCAATAATCAAAGTAAGGCTGGATTAAGGCATTATAAACTTTTATCAAAATGTCTTGTTCGACATACTCCCTCATTTTTCTAATAGCCCCAATACCTGATGATATTTTACTGCTAATATGGTTAATGTGTTTTTCCCAACTCAAGTTTTCGTCTAATTCAACTCCAAGGGCTTTGGTATTTTTAACTTTTTTAATCAATTGATTATTTATTTTAACTCCTTGATGGGTATCAATATTACTTATTTTATGTCGTGTTCCAATTAAAACATACTCGGTTTTCACTATATTTAGACTTAGTTTATTTGCACAAAGCCATTTCTGAACATTCCTCATGTCTACGCTCGCCCTCTCTTCCGCCTCACTAATTGTTCTGCCTACTGCCGTTAAGTTAGTATCATCAGCAAACATTCTTGGAGTTGTGCGTTCTAGGCAGCTTGGCAAATCATTTATATACATAATAAATAAGAGAGGGCCGAGTATACTTCCCTGAGGAATGACACCCGACGGTCTTTGCGTGTATGAAACAACTAAACAAGACAGCATATATTTATATATTTATATCAGAAAACAAGTCTCAAACTTCAAATCGTGAGGGAAGTCGTGCGCCCACATCAGCATTTATAATGTGTGCTTCGCTGTCGCCATTGTTATAAATAAATTGTCTCACTTATCAGATCGTGTGTGCAATTCTTGTTGGCGGCGGAAAGCATGTATACGAAATTTATTTCAGTTATTTCATTTGGTGAGAACTCTACAAAAGAAGAGAACGTTCAGAGTCCAGATCGTTTCGTTTCAAACGGCAATTTAATACCATCTTCTGTTTTGCTCTCTCAGCGAAGCCTTGTAAATCCCAAAGTATTTTGAATAGGCTTACATGCAACTGCATCTCAACATCAACCAAAAGATAATTTTCTTGAGGAACATATAACGTATCAAGTCTGTTTGTAATTAATGAAACTCAAGTAAAGGTTACTATAGTTTACCCCAGTCGTATTAAATGTTGCTATTCCAACACCTCACGACAAGCAATCCCCATTGGCATAACGGCAAAAACATCTCTTCCTTCAAGTAAACAATAAACAGTCTGTTCTTGTTCCATTTGTAATCGAAAAAAGTGATCAATTTTCGAATTTTAAGCTTATCGAGAGCCTTTGTCTATGCCTTTGTGATGAATCACTGACCTAATTATAGAATCCAACAGCAAACAGCCAATCAGAATGCCGCGTTCGTGGGCGAACGCAGAAAGTACAAAATACCGGGCCTTGCTTGCAGGCCCACTATCAGTTCCCTTGGGTCTGCACGCGGGCTATATTTATATACGTCATATCGCTGTCCGTGCAATGAGTCGCGCGTAAGTGATTATCTTTAATCCTGTCTTCAATAAGCTCAATTCGCTAATTTGAGATGTTCTGACTTTCTTTAACCATTTTTACTGCAGTATTTATGCAAATTAACACCCGCCTATGATTCAACGAGTGCACCCCATAGATCACCCTGATGTATTCGCCGAAAAATACCATGGTTATGTGGTGCAAACCAAGTTCTGCGATTTGAGAAGTTCAGGTAATAATATATGCATAAGTAATGGTGTGCATGCATGAGTTTTTCAAAGACGATCGAATTGGCACAAGTACAACCAAGAACGTGTGCAATTTGACGTCTTTGAAAAACTCACGATATTACTTATTATGTAATATCGTCATTTTCGTTAAAATTTATACTCTTCAGGTGCAGAATTGAGTATTTTTTTTCATATGTATTAGAAATGTAACTATAATACCTTACGCTCCTGATCAACTTTTCCTGAGAGATTTTCTAAAAGCAAATAAATTGGGATGTTAAAATAACAACTAAGATTAAAAAGATCTAAACTTGTATTGATTTAGGGGTTGTCCATAATTATCAACATTTTCACAAGAGTACAGAGCATACTCTTTTTATCAACCCTCTCCCACTTCTGAGAGCGTACTCTTGTAATGTTGAATCTCAGGAATGATGTTAATGTTGAGAAAGTAAAATAATGTGTTATTTATGCCGAATTAGGAAAACGTACAAATTGGTTTCATAGCATGACAATATTTGACGCATCCTCCACACATCAGCCACCTCCACACATCACGCACCCCCACACACATCACGCACCCCCACACACATCACAGACCCCCAAACACATCACACACGACCACAAACATCATGCACCCACCCCACACACATCACGTACCCCCACACACATCACGCACCCCCAAACACGTCACACACACCCGCACACATTATGCACCCCGGCACACATCACGCACCCCCGCACACATCACGCACCCCCGCACACATCACGCATTCCCACACACATAACGCACCCCCGTAAACATCACGCACCCCCGTAAACATCACGCACCCCCACACAGACTATGTACACCCCACACACATCACGCACCCCCACACACATCATGCACCCCCACACACATCATGCATACCCTCACGCCCACACACGTCACGCACCCCACGCACATTACTCCCCCTCCCCTATATTCATAATACAGTAGAATCTTAATCGTCAACGTCAACACAAAATGGGCTACCCAAACAACCTTGCCAGACACCACAATGCATGCTGCAGGAGGCTTGTCAGCTGACTAAGGTTTCCACAAGTTATGAAACAGAAATCTCAACACAATACCATACTGAGCAGCAGGGGCCTGAGGGAGGGAGCTACCAATTAGAAACTAAAATTCCAACTTAGTCGATATAACACGTTACAACCCTTACAAACATATCACACAAACATCTATGTTCACTGTTGCCATGGAGTATAAAAACACTGGATAAGAAACTCATGATGGCGTATGATGTTTTCAAAGTGCGTATGGCGTCTCAAACTTGTTCAAAACTATCACCAAATCCAAAATAATTGTACGTTTAGCAATCACACAGCTGACCATGTATTTTAGTACAAAGTGGGCAAGCGGGCTATTCGCAACGAAAGCACGTCCAAATTTGTTTATCTAATTATACGCTATATCAAGCGGAATTTTTTGAGGTTTGTTTTCAAGTTACCCCGTATAGACTACAGTGTAAGTGGAGCAGTGGCACGCAGACTACCTGAGTTCGAACCCTGGTCAAGGCACGTTCTTTTCACGTTTCATTTAACGATAGTTGCAGTAATACATTTTCCCCTCGCCCGCCAGTCTCTGCATAATACATTGATATTTTTGTGATAAAGTGTAAGCATGGGACTGATCGTCTCGTTTGCATTTTCTCTTTCGGGCCATTGAATAGTTTATGGTAGTGTTATACTGTGGTCCAATAAAGTTTTCAACATTTTAAAAAATAATTAAAAATTAAAATAGTTATATGTTAGGGACGGGATTCCCAAATTTTACACGAAGAAATAATTCAGTGAAATGTCGGATCTTGCGAAAGCTGCTCGGGTTTTCAGCGGGAGAAGAAGATATGCGTGCTTCCACTTGGTTGATTTAAAAAACATAAACAACATGAACGAAGCCTTCGAAAGTCAATTTTGCAGCGGCTGTTTAGGCCTCTAACGACGTTTAACCATACATGTTGTTGCAAACTGTTGTGTGTTGACTGCACTTCATGCACGTTACCTCCTTTTGAGGTATTGAGTTTTTACAAGTAGTGACCTGGTAGAGACACTTAGTATGGGCGTCCCAAAAAACAAAACTGACAGAAGTCTGACTTCTTGTCGACTCCTCATTGATGTTAGCGTAACCGCCGTCACGCCATGTTTTGCACATCACTCGCCATGTTTCTAGCCAGTGCGCTAAGGAAATGCCGTCACCCCCTGAAAACATTCAAAATGGTTTAAGAAAGCTTTGGATTGATAGGGATACAACTACATGAAAAATACAAGGAAAATTTCGCTCGAAACGTCGAAGTTCTCCTTGTATTTTGCAGGTGGTTGTTTCCCTATCAATCCGAAGCAAAGACCGTTGAAGATTATATCAAAATGTCTTAGGCGTTTAGGGAGCGAGACTGCGAGTGCCTCTCGTAAGCGCACTGGCTAGGAACATACATGTATATAAAAACCAATACCAACCGACAATTTCAAAAAATATAATACAAAACATAATCCGAAGATAAGCATCTTGAAACCCAAAATATGAGTCAAACAAGAAAGTGAGTGAGTAATATTTCGATTTTATTACAAAATCATGATGATTTAATTTGTAATAAAATCGAAATATTACTCACTCACTTTCTTGTTTGACTCATATTTTGGGTTTCAAGATGCTTATCTTCGGATTATGTTTTGTATTATACATGTATATGGTGAGTACTTCGCGATTGCAAATACATTTTCTGATTTTCTAGAATTGTTGAGAATTTTTTTTGATACGTCGTGTGGCGGCGGTTATGATCTATTCTAAAACTATACCAGAGTGACAGACGACTACAGACAAGTAACACACGACTAGACGAGTAAAATTTCTAAATACGACTAGCCCTACAGACTATCTTTAAAATAGGGAACTGGGAAGTGGAGCGAACAGGCAATGGAGAAAATAGGTAGTTGGACAAACGGGAGTTCGAGAAGTTGGGAGTGAGGAAACTGGAAATGGGAAACGAGAATTGGGAAACGAGAATCGGGATGTGCCACAACAGCGGACTGGAGAACCACATAACCATATAGATTTCACTCAGATCACATAACTTATTATCAATATTATAAAGGCACTTTTTTAAATTGTGCATGCAGTATGAAAATATTTAGTCTAGTGATTATCTATTCATCCAACAAACACAATGTATAAACTATAAACTAAATCAATTTTTTAATTTAATTTTTATGTCTGTGATAATCTTAATTTTACTATACCCATTATAACCTACCTCGCACTTGCAAGTTAATAACATTGTAATCACCAATGATAACATTCTGACAATTCTTATTAACAATTGATATTGGATGGCTTTGATCCTCGTTATCCATCGCAAATTCGCAATCCAAGTACTAATTGATATCTAGTATAAAAAGACCTAATAAACATACACCATAGAATTTTATTATAAAGGGCTCATCCATAATTATCAACATTTGCACAAGCGTACAGAGAGTACTCTTTTTAACCCC